TGATTTTTTACATTTCAAATAACAAAACTTCAACAAAAGATCAGAAAAAATATGGAATAGCAACTGTTTTTAAGACACTTGCGAAGGTAAATAGATTGGTGGTTAAGATCGGTTTCATATGTAAATATCGGCCGATCACCAATCACCCTAAATTAAGGAAATCGGAGCAGATCGATCGGCCGGCCGATTTATCGGTGCACCCCTTATATAGGTATCTATTTAAAGATACAGATACACAGATAAATAAATGTTACATTTACTTGTTTTAATGATGCGTTTACAATAGCAGCCTTTCAAAATGGCCGCCCACTTCCCTCCAACTCTCAGCAGAATCCCCTCCAACTTCCAGCCACTGCAGTGACCCCCTCTAGCATATCGTTTTACTCTGACTCCACCCTTTAAGTGAATTACAGGGTCTGACCAGAAGATGATGCTTCCCTTTAGATCTTAATGTCCACAAATCATAACAGAAAGATTATTTTAGCACAAAGATCAAGGTCTAAAAAGGAATTGTAAGTAGGGTTACAAATCTCCCTGAAAAAAAAGGGACAACTCAAGCTGACCCGATTGTCTTCACCCCTTCTGATGGGCTGATTTTATTTTTTTTAGCACCCTTTTGTGTGTGAAATAAATTTTTTTAACTATTTGACTCAAATCTGCATTGAATTAGATGCATATTTGTGAGTGACACGAACACATGGAAAACAATTTGTTATCCAGCAATTCATTTTAATACAAAATAACAAAGTTTGCTGAATAAAATAAATATCTTAAACATAAACCTGTCCTGCTTAACTTCAAACTGTAAAAATTAATATTAATAATATTATTATTTCAAATAAGAAATACAATAAACTCTACAAAAATTACAGCATCATCCACTGAATAAAGAATGACCACATTAACATTTCACAGTGAATTACTTTCTATTTTCTAACGTTAGACCCAATGTCAGTGTCTAACTCAGCCAGACTAAAGTTAGTCTGCAGACTAAACTATAGGATCCATCGGCTATAGATGGATTTATTGCTTAGTTCATCCACTGACTGGGAAATTACCAGTGGAACGTCTTCCTGCAGACAAAAAACTGCTGGTTTTAGCAGCCAAAAGCTGCACAGGGAGGTTTTTTTTTACTGGGCTTCTCCGTGGGAGTGGGGAGTACCAATATGGCGGACAGCGGCTTCACTTTTTTGGGTCAATCAGCAATCCAGTGAATAAATAGAGATCAGTAAAACATACGAGACATATTCCTATGAGTAACTTTATGAGTCCAAATAAACTGTTTAATTCTTTTTTCTCCTAAAAACTATAAAAGAGGAATTTAAAGGAAATTTTCAGACGGATTGTTTATGTAATAAGCAGGTTATAAATCCTTTAACCCAACAATGACAAAAACTACTATGAATATAAATAACACTTTAAGAGTGGGTAAAAACTGGGAATATTCATTAATATCTGTAGCCATTAATGCTGTACATGGCAAATATTTATTTAATGAACTTATCAGTCTAACAGATGGTATAACTGTATATTTTCCAGTCTGTGCAACATTTCTCTGTTCATCCTGATCAGAGACCTAAGAGCGTCATCAGGCTGCAGTCACATGAACAGTGCAGCGTTGCTATAGCGACCTGAGAGGGGGAGTCAGTGGTGTGATGTACCGGGGGCCTGTGAGGTGGCGGGATGTGATTGGCCAGCTGATTGGAGGGCAGCTTGTCTGCAGTGGGACGTGACTGGGATGTGTGCATGTGCTGCAGCGAGGCCCGCTTCCTCCACCTGCTCCGTCTGCAGCGGCGCCGAGCTGCTGAGAGGACACCAGCTTCCAGAACCATCTCAGAAAACAGAACCGAGACCAAACTTTTATCCTGAACCCGTACATGCCAGCTGATGAGCCGAGGAAACCCTGAACGCTGAATGTTTCACCCACTGGGGTCTACTTCACAACTTTCTATTACACTGCAAAAACAATCTAGAAATAAAACATTTCTTAAATTAGGCGTATTTACCTTTAATAAGAACAAGTAAATAAGACGATTTGCCAATAAAATAAGACTATTACATAATATGCACCTGAAATGAGACAATGCAATTGTTTTTCTTATTAAAAATGTAAATTGTCTTGTCGTAGATGAACACTGGAAAAACGATCTAGGAACAATTTAAAATTTCTTAAATTAAGTGTATTTACCCTTAATTTGACGAGGTAAATGAAATGGTTTACCGATAATAACTCTTTAAATAAGACAATGCAATTGTGTTTTCTTATTTTAAATCTAAAATGTTTC